GATTAGAAACTCAATTTGCAAAAAGAAAAAAGAAAGAAAAGAAACCTTGCCACTTCTTAGAATGGCTTAGCATAGTATACTATATATCTATAAAAATAATATATTGTCATAGAATACTAGAACGCGGAGAGTTCAGTTAACCCATGAACTTTGTCTTTTAAAAGGTGATGGAATCCAATTGAAAACTCCATCGCCTGTCTGGCCTGCTTTGCTTAAAGAAAAACTCAAAAGGAAGCCGGAGTGCACTAGCTGGGCTGATACTACTTTTTTATTTTCTGTTGCCCAGAATCAACAATGAAAAAGTCACTAGTCTCTTTTATATGTAGACTTTTAATTTAACCTCAATGTATCTTATTGGGATACACAGGACTCCCTATTGAAATTGCTTGTGAACTGTCAATCAATTTAGAAGAAAGCGGCACAAAATACTTCGTAGGATGGAGAAGGAATGGTGCTGTCAAGGATTAAAAAGAACCTTGAAAATTAGAATATGGCAGCATTGGTTGACAAAAACTAAAAAGTACACTACAGTTCTTTATTATGTAATAGTAATCTTCATCATGTTTTCTAAAGCTTGGTCTTGCTTATTATATATTATACTACTTTAAAAACCCAAAAAAAAAAAAAAAAAAAAAAAGAGCCTCTTCCAGGAAGAAAATTAAACAGAAAGCCCTTCTTCAATATTTATATGCAGTATCCATTTGTGCCTCTTCCAGTGTTCCTTGAAGAGTATGGTTCAGTGGATGCTACTATTATTTTTTATAACCATCACTTCAAGTCCAAGAGATCGGTTGAGTGCAACAAGAAAGAAGCGGAGACAGCTCGACGGGTAATACACATTGAATAAACTGATGATAAAGTCTCCACACCCAATTTGTGTAGTCCTACTCCCAAGTCGTTTGACAAATGACAGACACATAAAAACAAGTAAGAAGCTCAAAGTTTTGTCTTGATTACAGGTAGGTAACGCAATCAAATTTAAAATTCTTATACTCCACGTCGTTCATGATCAAAGTTCTGTTACTTTGGATTTTTCCCCAGCATTCTTTCTTGACTTTCTTCTCCCGTTCCTCATCAGCGGCGGCACATCTTCGCTTCCGATTGGTGCAATTAAACAAATAGAGTAGAATTCTAGTAGATGCCGCAATTATTATGGTACGTAAATTAAGTTGCTATTTCTGTTAAGTGCCTGGCTAAATTGGTATCATGAGTTTTTTGTACGTAAAACTTTGGGCTTAAGAGTAGTGCATCTCATGATAGGTGTGACCTTTTGCTGAGCTGGATTAATACCTTAGAATCAAAATTACAAGTTCTCAAAATTTGATGCATTTCCATGAAAGGCATCTGGAGAGTTTTTACCATTGATAGCTTGCACTTTTTTCTAAAAAAAAAAAAAGAAGAATGGCTAGAGCCCATTTGAATTGCTATTTTTTTTAGAGCTTTTGAAGAAAAATGTATTAGTATAACGATTTAATGTACGTAAGATAAAAAAATTAAAAGTTTTAAAGAAAAACTTGCATCCCAAACAAACAAGACTAAATTTGGAAAATCAAGGAATTGGTTCTAAATAATAGACACTAGTGAGGAATCCAGTACTAAACTCGATGTTGCAAGGTATCATGATTGTATGGATAATTGATGATTTTGTTCCAAAAGATGAGGGGTTCAAGGGACTGAGCATAATAGCAGTCAGTGCGTAAATCTAAGGGACTGTCATTTTCGTGCGACAACTTGTTAATCATGTTCAAACAGTGCCTACGCGACTGAGCATAATAGCAGTCAATGCGTAAATGTACGTTCGCATTGAATAGTAGCCGACAGTGATTCTCCGTCCTCCTTGTAAGTTGTAACATATAAATAATGATTTGAAACAGGGAGGAGTCCAGGAACCTAGTAAAAGACGGAACGGAATGGGATAACTTGATCAAGAAAGTACCTAAAACGAACGGAAACGAAGCAAATCACCAAATATCTCACAACTCCAGAAGTTATCCTTCACCCTTTAAAGACTTTTCCGGCGTTTGAATGAAGCTAAAGAATTCTAGCTAAAACAGGAAAAAAAAAATGAAAATACTCTACTAAATCCACACTAATTGATGCCACCACGTTCGTATGCCAGATGACTGTTAGAAATCTCACCCACACGTGTCAGGTCCTACCGTAACGGGATTGCTCATGTTGATTGCCGGCCATGAATCTCCAAAATCTTTGGGTCGATTAATTTCCAAATTGGCAAATTGCACTTTTTATAAGCGTAAGAAAACATTTCGCATTTTCGTCAAATTCTCCGCTTTGTCTATTTCAACCGAAACTAGTTAAAAAGATCTCGAGAAGGAGAAAAAGAAAAACTTCAATTGATTAAATGACGTATTTAACTAATTTTCCTTAAGTAAGTTGGCTACCGGACGGCACACGAAGATGTAATCCTAATGATCATATTTTTGGGATTCAAACTCTCGCACTTTGAATCAAATCCAAGTGGTGTGTAATTGTGCACCTTTTTTTTTTTGGTCTAGAAGTGAGTCTCTGTCCCTTTAACTTTTCTAGTCCAATTGAATCCTCTTTTATTATTGACTAACTTAGGAGTAGAAGTAAAATAGTGATAGATACATTGATAGTTAACAAAAAAAAAAAAAGAAAAGAAAATGACATATTTAGACTTTAGAGGTCATGCATATATGGTGGCATTGTTGACTTGGGCACCCATCTCCCGTCAACGAAGAATGAGACAGGCAGCGCGTTTTAGGAATTGTAACCAACACCCAACCCCCCCAATTTATTGTTTGAACATTGAAGCTTCGCCAGGGTACTGGGCACTACTATCCTAGATGATCATTCATGAGTAGGGTTGCTCGACTCGAGTTCGAGCTCGAATTCAAACTTAAACATATTCAATTTATTAGTTCTTGAGTGGATTCGATTATATATATATTTTTTATTTTAATAGTAAAATTATATATATTTATAATATTTTATTATTTATTAAAAAATATTATTTTATTTATTTTTAAAAAATAAAAAATTATTTTAATTTTTTAAAGTTCGAGGTCGAACTTTGCATTTTGAACTGGAGTTGAGTTCGAGATTCATAAAACTAAATTAAGAGTTAACTCGATTAAATCAAATCTCAACTCGACTCGTTTGTATCTCTATACAAGAGCAAAAGTGGTTTGTTTTCTTTTGTCCCCTTCTCTTTGGGGAAAAAAAAAGGAAAAAGTAGTTTACTTCACTGTCATTTTACTTCAAAAATTTTTCTTACATTTTTTAAACATAATCTTTTCATTTCATATACATCAAATCGATATACTATATATATATATATATATATATATATATATATATATATATATATATATTTTTTTTTACAAAAACTATAGTAAATATCAAGCCAAACGGGGCCCAAGCTTTTTGGTGCATACAAATAAAGATGTTTTAAACTTGCATTAATTAGTAGCTTACGCATCATGTATTATTGGCTAGACGAAAGAGATCAGAGCATGCAAATTGTACTAATTAGCTGTTCCTGTGAAGAACAGGGGCATCTTAGTGCGAGATGACAAAGTCACTAATTACGAACTCCACACGGCCAATGACAGAAACAAATTAACTGACACCTAAACTACCTCTTTCAGTCACAGAAGCTGTCATTATTCTGCTTTCAAGATGTACTTAAGACAAACAAAGATTACATTATTATAAACGTGAAAATGTCACTTTACAAACAAGCTATAAAGTACTTGTTTTTTTTTCAAGAGATTTAAATATATTGAGAAGCAAAGGACCCCAAAGACGGAAACAGAAAGTAGACTAGACACCAACGTTATTTTCTTCCCCTTCTCTCCCCCTTTTTTCTCTTATAATTGTCACAACCCCCCCCCCCAAAAAGGAGTGCAGCAAAATAAGATACTAATGCATTACCAGTATGCTAACTCTAAGATGCGAGTAGAGGTGTGCAAAATCGAAAAATTTTGATTTATCGATCGAATTCGAATTGAATTCGATAATTCAGAATGAAAATCGGAAAATTCGATTTCGAATTGGTCGAATTCGGTAATGAAATTTTTTAAATCGGAATTTGAAATTCCTATTTCGATTTCAAATATGTTTTTCATATATATATATAAAAAATATATATAATATAACATTTATATTATAATAATAATTTTTATATTCATGAATTCGGTGAAATCGAAATTCCTATTTCGATTTCAATTTCGTTTTCACACATATATATAATATTTTTTTATATATATGTAATATAATATTTATATAACAATAATAATCATTTTTATATTCATGAATTCGGTGAAAATCAGAATTTATCGAATTCGGAATTGATGAATTCGAAATCGAAATCGATCGAAAATTCTGATACCAAAATTTCAAAAAATTTTGATTTCAAAGTTTCGAATTATCGATTTCGATTTCGATTTCGATTCACACCCCTCGAGTGCAAATGCGATAAAGTTCACTGCCATCGTACAAAATTCGTGCGATTCACGCACTTCACATTAGTACGGAATACAAGTCAGCAAAGGTTTTTAGCACCGACGACGGTTGCAAAACAAAATTAGCAGCAGCAGCAGTAGTACTATACTAGGAGAGATAAACCGCGCTTCGCGCGGTGGACTACAAAACGTAAATGCCCATAAAAGAATTAAAATTATGTAAATAGTAGTTGGGATTGCTGATAAGTAATTTTAGATACAAATTAACATTGAAGTTATACATATCGATTAACAATAGAAAAGTGTGGGATAAATGTAACAAGATAATCCGGTAACCGAGTTGTTCTCTTGTTTTGGAAAAGGAAATATCGTTACAGATACAAGAGGATTTGAAATTTGCAGAAATACTATACATTAGATGTGAAATGTATAATGCCATAGATACATGATTTCTTTTCGATCCCATGACCCTACTTACCCTAGTTCCCTAGTTTAATGCATAAACCGCGTATTAGCATAGTGCGGGAAAAAAATGCAGATGCCCAGTGTAATAAAATGATTTGTACATATTCAAAGTGGATCCATTTAATGGAATTGTTTGTGTCTGATGGAATTTAGTTACAGATTAACCAAAAAAAAACCTATAACAATTTCATGATAAACTAATTACATTGGCATAGAGCTTGAAACGCACAATGCATCTTTCCCCTATCCAAAAGCAATTTTGTTTCTGCTGTCCCCATGGCAAGATTTGCTAAGCTCTCCCGTGACAACCTAATCATGAAATTATAACGATAAAATCTTAGTATATATTCCATTACAGTTAGCAATGGATCTCGTCACCAATGCATGGAAACTGAAAATGGGTTAGGAGACATTGATTGATCCCAAAATAAACAAGATAACCTCGACAACTTTAAAACTTGTAATAGTCATACAAAATCTTAAACCAGCTTTTCCCCTCTTAAGAGAAGCATGATATATATTCTGTCCATTATTAAGTATCAAAGAAATGAGAAATAAAGCATCCTATAAGTTGTCAAGTTAGAGCAACTTGCATGGTAACTCATAATTCCACCAAAGCAGATAAATTAGCTATTCTGCTATTTCCAAAAAATTGAACTTAAAAGAATTCAGAATGCAATTTATTGCAGTATGGCCATCCATGTATGTCACCCAAAGGAAGAAATTGGAAATAGGTTAACTGGCAACAAATGATTCTAATCCAAAAGATAAATCCGACAAGTGCTAACTCCAAAATATCCAAACATGAAACTCATTCCGTTGTCGTAAAAGTGAAACATTGAAATAGCAACTATATTATTATTTTTTTTGGAGGAGGAGCAAGGAAGGGGCAGAACACAAAGTCAATGGAATGATCCTGAAATGCAAAAACAAAGTGGAAACTTATTCATTATAGGGAGGACATCTTTTTGTTATGTTAAAACAATACTCCATTCCAAAAGTTAGAGGGGCATTGACATGTAAGTTAGATTGCATAGTTGCTTTTATCCTTGGAGAAGCTCTAGATATTCTCATCTAAGAATAATGTGTCTTCTAGATCTAAAATTTAAAATCTTTTGTGACTGAAAAATTTAAGGTTTGATAGCTCAATTCTTCATTTAGCATATGATAAGAAGTATTAAGAAACTATAAATCATGAAGGGATATTTCTGTACCTATAAAGGCAAAACCAAGGTTTGTATAGAAGCCTTTATAGGGAAATTTTCTATGCTATAATAATTGAAACTTAATATTTGACACTTAATAATTGCTAAGGTTTTTCAGACTCCAGAAACACAGAACAAATGCAACTGATCATAAAGAAGTCCTATACTTCTAATCTTCAATTGAGAAAGAAAAGGAAAAACACAGAAGAGAAGGAACTGTATCGAGTCCTATACCTCAAGATGAGTGTATGCTATCTAAGCCAATTCTTGCTTACGTGAAACTGCTGCTTTCTTAACTTCAAAAAGAACTACTCAGTGCTGTATCCAATGCTCCCCAATTGATTATATCCTCTGGAAGGCCCATTGTAGGATTCAAAATCCAATTTAGTAAAATCACTTGTCAGGATTGTCGCATTAAGTTTCTGCTAAGGAAAAATATTCATGTAAATCAGGCGAAAATAGAGGTATAACGAAGTTTCATGTATTCATGTTAAAAACAAGAAATGGAAGTTATGAGCCAATCCCATAAGCCAGCCTGAGTGAATTGCTTGGGGATGGTAACATCTCCCATGGACATGGAACTACTAATATTGCCCGATGCCAAAATGCACTACTCCAATTACATCAAACAGATCCAATAGTAATACAAAATGATAAGGTTAACAGAAACCAATAGTGATACAAAGTAATTTAAAAGCTTCCATTTCAGTGAAGGTTTTCAAGAACAAGACAAAGCTTTTCTTTTGCTATACAGTTTGGAAACTGCAAATACTGATAAATCAGAATGTAAATATTCAAATCAAGAATAATTACAGCAACTATTAGTTGAAGTCCCAATTAGATAGAGAGAAGTCCTTTCAGCGGTATATTTGCACTCTAAAACAATGTCAATATGATTCTTTAGAAATTTGCAGATGTTTAGTGCACTTGAAACAATAATTCAAAATCAACATCTGGCATTGCAGCATAAGAAACACATAAGATGTCCAACCTTTGGAAGTCCTCCAATCCCAAATGCAATATCCAAAGCAAATGAAGCTGTGGACACAACTGGAACTTGTTTGACAGGGGCAGAGCGGCCAAGCCACATGATAGAACCTTTTCCAAATGATGCAGTGATCTGATAGTACTTGAGCACCAAATCTTTCTTTGACGTTTGACTTGGATTTTCTTCTACCTTCCATACAAAAAAAGACTTATATTCATAATGAACCAATGAAGCCAAAAAAAACAATTGATATTTTTCTATTGCAGAAAGAGCAAAATGTAGGTACTCTCAAGCAGGAATAACACAATCCCAGCCAAATGTAAAAAATATCAAACTCAACAAATTTCAGCAAAAGAGCTATACTTAAAAGAACTCATCTAATTCAAAGAATCACATGGGGGAAAAGGGTCAAGTGATTTTTACATTAAGAATGATGCATTTAATGTTAAAATACTCTAGGAGGGAGGTACAAGGCTAAAATATGGTAATACACTTGCATACTTTGGTGCTTTATAATTTTTTAGTGAACAGAAAACCCCAAAATATGGGGGAAAACATGCAATTGCCACATTAAATAAACAAGATGTTTGAAGTATTCAAACACTAAGCAAATATATGTATTAGTTTTAATTGGTACTGGGAAGGGGCTAAAGCCTAAAAAGATAGACTTTATATGCAAAAGTTATTTTACTTTATCTATTTTTGAAACCCATCAAAGTGATCACCAAGTTAAGAAGGTATGAAGACCAAATGCAAGTCAGTTCAGCAGGAAAATAAACTTCGGGTACCTTTTGGAGGAAAAGTAGGAGAGTTGAGTGTATGCCCCTAACAAGACTTTCCTATAAAGTCTGCATCAACAAACAACAAATTCATGTCATGACTCGTGAAGAAAATGAGAAACAAAATAAAAAAAGAAAAGCAGTACTAACTGAAAAATGATGTTAGAAAACGTATCAAACAAAAGACTTTTTCTTTATACAGTATGCAAGTTCAATAATTTTAAAAACAAGGAACAACTTCTGCAAGCTAGCAAAGTAAAGCATTTGGCTTTCGTAATTGATAGGAAATAATATTATAATCATTTATTCGCAGCTTCCAACTGCTAATAACAAGTATAAACACTATATTACACCTATAACTTCAAAAGAATAGTACAAACAAGACAAGGTAGCGTAAAAATGTTGAAACTCAACAAAGCTGTGAAAAACATATTTGAGAAAAAGCTGAAATTTTTTTAAAAAAATGCTTCAAATTTCTACAACGGGCCATTACCTATCATTAATCCTAACCAAATTGTTCTCCAAAAATACAAAGAAAATAAGAACAAAATCTGGTTTGGTGGGGAAATTACCGGAGAGAGAGGTTGCAAAAATAGAGGCATCCGAGAGAAGAAGCATTTCGAAGAAGCCTCGCCATCATATTCAAAGGCTTCCATCAAACCCAAAAATGTCATTGACCAAAAAGAAAATTTTTAAAAAAAAGACGAAGTACAGGAAAAAAGTAAATAAAACATAGAAATTAAGCACTTTATATTAGAAATTTCTGTTTGCCTCATATTGTTCAGTTTGCTGCATAGAAATAAATCTTTCAAAGGCCCTTTAGAAACGCATCAATACTTTCGCACATCCCAATTCAAAGGGCTTCTATGCATTTTAAAAAGGAAAAAAAAAAGATAAACACATAAGAAAATAAACAGAGGGGGCAAAGGGAGGTCTTGTAGAAAAGTTACCTGAACTGACGGAGGATAAACAGTTTCTTGTAGATTTTTTTTTTAAAAGATGAAGAGCAACCACATCAAAAAAGCCACCTGATTTGAAAAGGGTAAGAAAAATAAGGAACAATAATATAAAAAAATAATCTGATTTGAACGGAGAATGAAGGAGCTTTCTGAGAAAAAATATATATAACGAAGGAGAATAAATTTGGGAAAAACAAAGAAAAGTCCCAAGCCTTGAGCTAGAAATGATGCTGGCCACACGCTTTGGAGGATCTAGCACCAGGTTCTGAAATCTCCATCTCCTTCTTTTCATTCAATTTTTTATTCTCTTCCCCTTTGGCATTGAAACTAAGAGTAAGGAAACTACAAACTTACAAGAAAATAAGCAAAGAGCGAGGAGGCTTAAACGTACTGAAGATTTTGGCATTATAATCTTGGAAAGGAAAGGCAGGAAAGAAAAGCGGCGGCGGCGAGGCTTTGGAAAGGAAAGTCAGGAAAGAAGTATTTTGTGTGTCTAACCCTAAGCTGACAACCCGCGCTTCGCGCGAAAAAAAAAAATACTGAAGGCATGCTTATGGCACGTGACGACGACCAAAAGAAATGAACAGTAACGCCTTTGGCTCTTAGAGTGTTATGTTAAAAAAAAAAAAAAGAAGAAAGAAGTGGACAAGTACAAATATGACATACGAGCCCAGCCTGCCTACAGGGGAGGGCAGGTATTCCGACCAGTCCAAATACTTTTTGCTTTCTTCCGTTCCGCGCAAGTCTACCAAATAAATAAATATTTTTGGCCATTGTTTCGTCTGGTACCAATACTCCCTCCAACAGCACGCTGCAAAATAATCGCCTCATGTTTGTTGTCCACCAAGCGCTGGACTTTTGAGTTTTGAGTGAATCTAAAGATATTCTGCATAGGTGCAGGTATTTTAAAAAATGTTTTAACCATGAAAAAATTTCACTAATATATGCGAAAATGATAAAAATGATCTCCAAGTGGAGTAATTGCTTGGATTTTACTTATTATTAATTTGCAAATTTGTTTTTTTTTTTTAAGTTTAAAAAAGTCATCATCGTTTTTTTCCAAAAATGACCTTATTGAATTCACCATATTATTATTGTTTTCCTTCCTTGCTCTTTTTTTTTTTAAAAAAATCTTTTGTGGGGGTTTACCAAAAGTTAGTGGGCCAAAAATATTTTCCAAGTTTAAGAAAAACTTAAAAGGGTCAAAGTAAAACTTTTAGAAATGTTCTTCCTTGATTGATCAAACTATATACAGCCAACTGCTATCAACCACTCACAGAAGTGCTGTCGGCTACCACTGTTGATGGTGAAACTTACAGGCCATTCTCTGGTTTCTGCATGGATAACGATTTTGGTATCAAACAAATCTGAAAACGAGAAAAACCAAGAAGACTTGGTGATGTGAGATTGCGATGGCATCTATCTGGTCACTAGAGAACGGGTCTAGAACTATTTGGTAGGAGAGATCGAAGGCGCGGCCATGGGGAAAGGCAAGCTCCTATGGCCACGGGAATCATGAAAGAATTAGAAGAAAGGAGGCCCAGGCCATTAAAGGATTGGGAAAAAAAAGGAAACCCATACTGGGTGAGATGATGGAGCATTTTTCAGTGTGTTAAGGGAGTGAGAATTGGTGCTGGAAAATGGCGGAGGAAAGAGTACAGTGTTTGATTGACAAAAATAAGTGTGGGTAGTATAGGAATTTCAGATCTAATTTGGATGTTTTTCGAGATTAATTAAAAGCACGAGGACGTTAATCAATAAAAGAGAGAGAGAAAGAGAGGGTTTACTGTATTTTATTCAATTATAAACTCTACATTTTCCCTTCTTTTATAAGATTTGAAATTTACCTTTGAAAAAAAAAGAAAATAAAAAACCTGGCCTAATTTTTTTTTATTTTGTTATTTTTAAAACCAGGAGGACTAAAGTTGTAGTACGAGACAGACACTTACTGCTACTACAACCGCTTGAAAATATAACTGCCGGAGTGCCAGCCAAGAGGTTAAGAAATGAAGAAGAAGAAGGAGAGATCGTTTTTCACTTCACTCGACGGTTCATCGGAGTGCTGATCTGCGCTAGTATCTAAATCTTCCCGATTGGCGCCAGCAGAATCAGTGCTGTTTTTCGATATACGCAGTCCCTTCCCTTCCCGTCCCACTATTTTCACTTGTGAATTTGCTTTTCAGCCTTTTTCTCTGGTTGTGCTCTCTCCAACTCTGGTCTCCTGCTAGTCTCCTCTCGTGAACACTCTCTCTCTCTCTCTCTCTCTCTCTCTCTCCACAGCCCATTCCTATGCAAGAAAAGAAAAGGAGAAAAAGCCCTCTCTCACTATCCCCATCCCCTTCTTTCTCCACTGGAACAGGACTACTTTTGGCTCTCTTTTCTTCCCTTACTCTCTCTCCCCCCCTCTCTCTCTCCTAAGCGTTACACACACTCTCACACACTTGCTGGACACTCCCACCCCCCCCCTCCAGCACCAGTACACCCCCCATGATGATGATGGCATCTTACTTGAGACTCACTTTTGCTGATACTGAGGTCCCTCTCCAATTTTTTGTTAACACTGCTGCTGCTATTACTGGTACAACACTAGCAGCGGGAGCCATTCGCCGTCCACCAACTCATTCTTTCAAATTCTTTTTCTGGGTTTAGATAGAGCAGCCAAAATCCCCAAAATCCCAACCAACGATATTCCTTCCAATGGCAATGCAATTGTTTCCTCATTCTCATTCTGCTCTGCTTTTTCTTTCTCGTGCTTTGTTCTTTGCCTTTTTACTGGAGCTATTCACGCTGAGTCATCCTCGAGTTAACTCGGAACCCACTCAGGACAAGCAAGCCCTCCTTTCCTTCATTTCTCGGGTCCCTCACGAGAATCGCTTGCAGTGGAACTCCTCTGACTCTGCCTGCAACTGGGTCGGCGTCGGATGCAACACCAACCAGTCCTACGTCTACTCTTTGAGGCTTCCCGGAGTCGGCCTCGTCGGTCAAATTCCGGCCAACACCCTGGGCCGTCTGACTCAGCTCCGGGTCCTGAGTCTCCGCGCCAACCGGCTCACCGGTTCACTCCCCCCCGACTTCTCCAACCTCAAGGCCTTACGCAGCCTCTACCTCCAGAACAACCGGTTCTCCAGCGAGTTCCCGCCGAGTCTCTCCGAGTTGACTCGCCTGACTCGCTTGGACATCTCCCACAACAACTTCACCGGCTCAATCCCATTTTCCGTCAACAATTTAACCCGTTTAACTGGTCTATTTCTTGAAGACAATGGCTTTACCGGTACTCTCCCAAGCATTAACGCACCCCTAGCGCAATTCAATGTCTCCAATAACCGCCTCAATGGCTCAATCCCACAAACTCTGCAGAAATTTCCCGATTCTTCTTTCGCCGGTAACATTAATCTTTGTGGCGGCCCATTGCCCCCATGCAACCCATTTTTCCCCTCCCCAGCCCCCTCCCCTGCATCCCTTCCTCAATCTAATCCACCCCACAAAAAGTCCAAAAAGCTCTCGACCGCTGCGATAATCGGAATATCAGTGGCTGCCGGAGCATTGCTGCTCTTGTTGTTACTAGTCCTTCTACTTTGCCTATTACGCAGAAGAAAGCAGCAGCCCCCCAAAGCCCAGAAGCCTCCGTCAACTGCAAGGGCAGCTGGGGCAGGCGTTGGGGCAGTGGGAGGGGCAGCAGAGGCAGGGACATCTTCCTCTAAAGATGATGTCACCGGTGGCTCTGCCGGAGAAGAGAGGAATAAGCTGGTATTCTTTGATGGCGGAGGGTATAGCTTTGATTTGGAGGACTTGTTGAGGGCTTCTGCTGAGGTTTTGGGAAAAGGGAGTGTGGGGACTAGTTATAAGGCTGTTCTGGAAGAAGGTACAACTGTGGTGGTGAAGAGGCTGAAAGATGTGGTGGTGAGTAAGAAAGAGTTTGAGCAGCAATTGGAGGTCTTGGGAAAGATCAAGCATGATAATGTACTGCCTTTGAGAGCTTATTACTATTCCAAGGATGAGAAATTGTTGGTATCTGATTACATGCCTGCTGGTAGCTTATCTGCTTTGCTTCATGGTGAGTTCTTAATTACTACTAAATTTTCTGGATGTCCAACATGTTTTTCTTGGTTTACTGTGAAAAAATTGTTCTCTTTTAACTTTTTAACTAAATGGAGTGATGTTTTTGTTTGTAGATCAATTTTCCCTTGCTACATATTGTTAATTGAACCCGGAATTTGGATACAGATGAAGTTGCGAAGTTCTGCAACTCTGGAAAGTTTTGAATTTTTTTTTTTAAAATCTATGTTTGCCTATACGTCATTTTTAACTTGTGGATATGCCACTGACTCGCTGGGACTTCAAGCGCTCTTTCCTCTTGAAATTATTTGCTGCATTACTATCCTGATTGAAGAATTTTCTACTACCAAATGTGTGATGTCTGAATTTTCATGTCTCTGCCAATATGTGCTACATTTTTTAGACTTTTCTTTCAGATTTATGGATGCGATAAATATATAGCTACATTTAATTCTCTGCTTGTCATGCTACTGATTGATTTCGAAAAGTCTAAAGACTGGGGCTTTTTTTCTTGGGGGGTGTTGGTGTGGCGTGGCATGATGACTTCGAAACTTGAACAAATTGTGAGTGTTTCCTCTCCCCTCAATTATTGAGCGATTGCACTGCATTGTCTTACATGAAAATACTCTACTTTAAGAACTGCTGCTTTGTTTATTCATATTTTTGTTGTTGGGACATATATGGAAATTTTGGATCGGTTCAGATGTTGCACAAATGTCTCATGTAACACCGTTAACCAGCTTATAACGTGCAGAGCTGCTCTTGTTTGAATTTGTTGCACTAGTTCTGCAACAATTTTGAAAGTTAGAATGCACTAGTAATTGTAGTTTAAGTCCATTGCCATTATTTTACAGATTAACATCGTTGTGCTAACTTTGCAGTAGTACCTTTGCATACGACCAACATGCTTTCTCTGATAAATGATTTAATAAAATGTTCTAAGACTGTAGATGTAGTCTTTGTCAAGATACGAAAATATTTTCTTTTTTCTCTTACAGTTGTATCACTGGGTCTGTTACTCTGTTTCCAGTTTTACTCGGATTGATAAATATCAATTTTCAAAGCAGCTTTAAAATGGTAGTTATGACCTTTTCTGAAGTTGTGTCTTTCACATCTTCATAATGTATATCTTTTTGACCTTTTATGAAGTTGTGTCTTTCACGATATCTTCATAATGTATTCCTGTGTAAACCCCAATTACGCATCAAACCCATTTCGCCAAACGCAGTTCTGTGGTAAGGTGCTTGTAGCTATTTTGAAAAATTGAAAGTGCGCTCCTCAATCACAACTAATGCTTATAATACTAATAATTGATGCACTGGTACCAGACATATTCTTTGGAAGTAAGCAACTGTGATTGTTTTTACTAAAATGTCTCAATCTTCTGATTCTTTCTTCACTGGCAATTTTCTTTCATTTGAAGCCTTATTTTGATCCAAATTTGAC